TATATATATATATATATAAAATTTTAATCACCAATATCAAGGTTGAGTTGATAGAATGAAAGAACCCATTATAAAGAATGGTTCACTTTTTATTAAGCCATATGCGATGTAAATCTAATTTAATCGAATTCTTTAGGTACCAAATACCAAATGATGGCTAGGAGAAAATAATACTTTAAAGCCTTAAACAAAGAATAAGTATGTAAATTGACAAAAATGTTTAATATTTTCGTGCTTTATATTCCTTTCTTTGCACCTAAGGCAACGACTTTTTTTTTTAAGGGGTTGGGGTATTGGTAGCAAACTTAATTGGATTGGATTGGATTGGATTGGAGAGAACAAAGCATTATATACTTTTTAGTCAATAACAATGCACAGACTCTTTTGATTATGACATATAAAAAAACATAATAAATAAATATCATTTTAAATTTAACGTATTTTATTTAGATTTATCTTAAACTATCAGTTATCTTAATTACTAATTTCTTGAACTTGAATATTTAATATTAACATTTATCCTTGTAACTATGAATAATTTTAATTCATAACAAAAACGATTTCATATTGAAGCTTTGCGCAAACCTAAATTTTCTTAGTTGGTAGTTTGCAAGTTGTTGGCTGCTGGTTTGGTTACATAGAATGAGAAGACTAGTAGTATAAATTTTAAGATATTTGTTTATACAAACTTAAATTTGTTAGGTGTGTGTGATGATTAGTTTGACTAGTTTGGACAAATTCTTCTTCAAACGCGGCAACACGCACACAACTCTAAAAGTTTGTTAGGATAAATATAGACATTTTTGAACTAATCTGAGTTTCTTCAAAAAATTATATTTTAATCCAAAATTTTATAGGATAAAAATATATATCTTTATTTTCATTTCACTAATTGTATATTAGTATAACTTTGTTAAAACTAACTTGCAAGTAAGTCGACTAGTACATAGTGACAATTGATTACAAGTCTACAAAAAAAAAATCAATTAATCCCCCTTCTTAAGTTTGAGTAAGTGGCCCCCCTTAGATATTATGTAAATTATGTTCTTCTACTCATGAATATATTTTTCCTCCATATAAATCCTCGTAAATGGAACTCCGACTAGCTTTTTCCTATACACTGATAATGCTTTGTACTCAAACATACGTGTTGATTGCATGCAGGTCATTGCTCCAGCAATTGGAAGGACCAACACTCCACCATACTCCGAGGGAGGCTAATAGAGTCGCTGATGCTCTAGCGGAATACGGAAGGAAATCAAAGGATCCTACTATGATTATGAACAAACTATATATTTTTGATGCATCTCTTTCATTTGCTAACATTCTAGAAAGAGATGCTAATGGAACTGCTTCAGTTAGATCAGTTCCCTTTTGTATGGATAATCATTTATAAATAATTAAAACCTTTCGTTTATTAAGCAAAAAAAAATATTTTTTCTATCGGAAACTTCTTACTGATGAGTCAAATTCCAATGAAGTGTTTATCGAATATCCCATACCCGATTTTTTTGTGATTATGTCTTTCTAGCATTGATAACCAAAATGACCATGAATCAATTGGGCTAAATTGTGTCAATAGACTTCCTTATAGTATTCTTAAAATAAAATAAAAAAAGAACTGCAGATCCTCCCAGAAAAGAAAAAAAGAAAATTTATAATTTATAATTAATTAAGAAACTCACAAAATTAGTGATTGGATGAATTTTTTAAAAAAGAAATGAAATACCATGATGGGGTCTTAGATTGACGAAAAGGAATTTCCTTTTATCCCTTTTTTTTCTTTTGGCTTCCCCACCACATCGGGTGCCGATTCAATCAAATTCGCATTGTGTAAGACCTATCAGGGAGAAGACAATTTCTAACAAAGATTTTATTTATATTCAAGAACCCGAGACTTCTAACTATGAACTTAAGGATAGATAGATAGATCGTATCTATCCCATTACAACCCTAAAAGGTAAAATATTTATTGAATTACCATTGCTCTCCTCTAACTATTGGTTCATCAACTAATACTTAAGTTTGGGGAGAGGCGATTTAAAGATCTAAAGTCATTACATTCAGAATCAGAATCCGATCGCAAAGCATAACCAATTGATATCCAACATCTAAGTAAAAAACAAATTAAATCATCACAAAAATTATAAGCATAAAACAAAATCATAACATAAAAAATCCCATTGATCAATCCAACAACATCAAATTACATTTTTGTTTCATCAACTCAATACCATAACATCTAGTCCTACACCACCACAACTTCTAA